CTTTGTAGTTTCCCTAGGGCACTTGGTAGAGTTCTTCTAGGCCCTTGAACTTGGGAAGGGCAGTTCCGAAGGATCCTGGCTTTACACAGGAGTCCCAGCTCTGGTTCCCCATGTCCTATGTACGCAACCATACTGCCTGTCATTAACCTGACAGGTCCTAGACTAAAGACCTATATCTGCTGAGTCTTCGTGGCATCAACGGCGTTGGCAGTGTTTGAATGCTCTGGGTATTCTTTTTTAATTCTTTTTTTAATTTATGGATCCTGGCAATTTCCTTTCCTTTCATTCCGGTTTAGATATGTCTATACTACAGACATGCCACATTTTATTTCACAGTTTTGTGTTTGTAGTGAGAAAGTTTTCTCTCTGAATCTGCTCAGTCCACCATGCTTTCAGAACTGGGAATCCCCAACGTTGAGGCTTTGGTCTTCTTAGTCATCACATTTATTTGCCTACAGTGATCTCAGATTTGTGCCAGGAACTGGGGATATGATGGCGAGAAAAACAGACACAGCTGCTCACCTCCCGGCACATAGAGCGAGCGGATCCTACAGATGTGCAGAAAATGAGTTGAGCCCACCTGGCGCCCTGCTTCTCAGCTTCCAAGACTCCAAAGCTTGGTCAGAAAAGCAAGTCAGCTGCTTTCCTGCTGGCATGTTAGTCTTTGCCTTGGCAGCTGCAGGGGTGAGATGTGCTAATGATGGGGCCAGGCTGAGCTTTGGGGGTGAAGCCGTCAGCTGTTCCCGTCTCCCTCTGGCTGAGGCAGAATGCGAACAGCTGGGAAACAAGGCCGGAATACACTCCCAGAAGCCGCTCCTCTGCCAGAAGAGGTGTCAACAGAATTCCATTCGTGTGAGCCGTCCAGGAGCGTATATTGAATTTGTTCCATACTTTAAAGTTCTCATATCGAGAGCGGATCGTATAATGGGGTAAGCCGGTGATTGAAACATTCATCGGTGTGTCTTTGTAACTCTTGCAACGAATAACATGATCCCATGCAGAATGACTTCTCTACTGATTTAGCTCGAGATATCAGATGCCTGGTTTGTCACTAAAATTTGGATTTAGTGTACTCAGTTCATGAAGTTTTACTTCCGGTTTCTTAGCAGGGAGAGTCGGTTCCTTGGAGCATATAGTTTACTCAGCGGCAGTAGGTGTCCTCCTGAAACTTCCTGTCCCACTGACACGTGGTTCAGCGTCTCTCTTTTTCCTTATCTCTGCCCACCCTGAAAAAGTGCTTTTCAACCTTCTTTCTTAGCACAGCCGAGGGCCACAGCATTGGTGACAGAGTAGGAAAGTGGTTTCAAAGGAGTGGCAGGAGGGACTAGACAGGACAGAGTTTGAAAGGCCACGTCAAGACAACTGTCTTGTAGCATGAAAAAATCCCTAATAGACGCTTCTGCTCCTCTTATGGGCATAAATGCCATCAGGTAAAGAGAGATCTTAACTTCCCTCCCCTGATGTCACTTGCATGCGGGGTTAGTGCGTTGAGGGTGCCGTGTGTTCTCGCACTGCAGTGATGACATTGACAGGTATCCGGGGCCATGCCAGACCTGGGACTTGGACTGCACAGGTCTGGCTTGGCCTCTTTACGGCCATGTGACCTGGGGAAACTAGGGAATCTTTCTGAACCTCAGTTTCCTGATTTGTCCAGGGAGAATCAGGACACAGCCTACCTTGCTGGGTTGTTGTGAGCATCGGATTACGGGCAGGTTGGGCAGAAAGTTTTGTGACTTGAGTTCTTTTTTAGATTGGGGGGCACAGGGTACCACTGTCAGTTCAGCGATGGAGGTTTGGGGTCGCGCCTTGGGAGGCACAAAGTGCTCAGCTTCTGTGGCCCCCGCCCCCATCCCTCCTTCTGTTGGAAGATGTGTGTGCAGGTTAATCCCAGAGGTCAACACAGGGACAGTGGAGGTTTGGGAGGGCAGGATGCTTCTGTTTCTTTTTCTCCGGTCTTAAATCTCATGGTTCAGTCTT